ATTTGTTTTGTTTCAATATCATTAGGGATTGTATTTGTATATGTTTCTGATGAATCTGTATCAATGGGAGAATGAACAACTTCTACAAAAAATACATCATCAATTCGTTAGCTAGACTTGTCCTTCACAAATAACTAAAAACCTATCCATGGATTTCATCGTCTTTAATTCATTTTCCTTATTTTGCATTTTGATATTTTTTATCATATATATAAAAATGGATGTTTGTTGGTTGGTTGGTAAGTGATAAACTTCTACATCGCTCAACCGATCGTGATGAAACTTGACATATAAGTTATTTTCCATAGAGAAGGTTTTTAGGCTATCAATTTTCCTGAACTCGCCACTAGATGGCGCTGTAGAACAATTTTTTGCTTAGATTAGGTAAAATTTTCCTTTCTCTCTAAGATTTTTTGAAAGTACTGTTATATAACGCTGCGCACGCTTGAGTTCGTTGATTTTGATTCTGTCAAAACATTGGAACAGAAGCGATACAGCAACATAGTACTAGTAATTTATAAAGATTCAAAAGAAAATAGGTTGCGTTCAGTTAGCAATGTTATCATTTGAATTATGAACAGAACCACAGAACACAGAAGATATATGATTGAAAATAGAATCATACACTATACAAGTGGTTGTCATTTTCAGTTACCGGGCTATGCAAGCAACAAGCTTAGCGTTCTTCTTTTCTTCCAACTTCAAATTTGTCATAAATAAACAAAAATCTCCAAAATATCACAGAATATGAAAAATAATCATCACATTGACATGAAAATCACCGAATCTGGTGATAAATCACTAGAATTGGCAACATTGGGATAATGAAAATGAGAAAGTGACAGTACAGAATAGTAACTATTATTCTGTGGTGATAATAACCAGTCGCCAAATTGTGTGCGCACTGGTTTAAAACGCCTGTTGTTAATAATCGAAAGCGAAGCAATTTTCTATCATGTTGTGATATTGTAATCATATTAACGTAAAAATGGTCATGGTGTGGAGCCCATTTCATAGGTTCGGTTTAAATTATGATTGGAGTTTGAAATATGGATTTGACAAGTAGCCTTGCAGACTATTCTGTCGTGTCGGGGCGCGCTCTGACGTTATTTCGAGTCAATACAGTGGTGGCCTTTGGAGTAAACGCATGCGAGCATCTATGTTTTCCTCCGATTCGGATAGTGATATTCAAGAAAACCTTGCGTAGCTGCTAATGTTAAGTTTACTTAAAAATAAAAGAAGGAGAACATATTTGGTTCATCCAGTAAATGATCTGAGAGGTAGTCGAAGCGAATATCATTTACTAGTGAAAGAATTAGAGTGTGATGAAGAAAGATTTTATCAATATTTCAGGATGTCCAAAAAATCAATTTGAGATTTTACATTCTATGGTAGAAAATGATATTAAAAAAATGCAAACTCGTATTTTCTCTCAAGGTCAATAAGTTCGTCCGATGTTTTGTGCACTAATAAATGTAAACGACTATTATCTAGCTAGTTAAGGCGTCAGATTAGAAATATACTAGTGTCACCGCATAGAAGTAAATACAAGTAAGATCACTCTCCGCCATATTTTGGTCAAAATTCCCTACTTCGAATTTTATGCGCGGCTGACTACAGCGCAACCGACTGAATCTGATGGGTTTACCAAGCGAGCCAAGTTGAGGCATGGAATATTATTACAGAGTGAGTCGTTGTAAGTGGTGGTTTTGTATTTGTGTAAAATTCGTGTCTAGTTTCAAAATGAACAGGTGTCGAGCTGTGGGTTGCTGTAATTTGCAGGGTGAAGATGTCGGCAATAATTTTTTTCGATTTCCAACTGACGAAAAAAGGTGTTTTTCTAGTATTTATCATGTAAGGTATAAACATATAACGAAAATCATAAAATAAATTGTTATAGACCATATATATGCAGACTTTTTTTATGAAATTAATTTGATCAAATTGAACTTTGATAGGCCTCACAAGTAATGATATAAAATTACAAAATAATCGGAGTTCCACTAGAAATCCACAAAGGAAAAATTGTTGAACCACATTTTTTGATTTGGCTAGTATGTATCTGTAGGAAAAATATTACTCCCACTGAAATCTCTGCAAAACTAAAGTATCAAATGTATATTCAAATAACCTTTTTTGGAGCCTACTGTTGCATACTTTTTTACCAATTCATCCACATATAAACAACAGTTGTTTTGTTATTTATTTATATAGAGGAAGATAGGTTAGGTGCACAAAATGTCATATGTCACAGAGTGTCTTGGAACTCGGAACATAAGTAAACAGAACAGCACGCCTCTGAAATATGTCATCTTTGTTTGTTTTATACAGGTAACAGATTCATTGTCCTTCATTAGCTATAACCGATTTTGCAAAGTGGTGAAATAGAAACAAATCCCTTTAAATGTTGAATGCATTATTTCATTCCTCTTTTTCAAGTATTTAAATAATGTTTTAAAGAAAATGGTTGAAATGATAAGTTTAACATGCGTTTTTTTTAGAGCTCTTTTATGAAAACTACTTGATTTTCGTCAGGAGGAACATTCCCCATTATCTAAAATTGGATTGAGAGTTAGGGGTATCATTTCAGATTTAAGTTTTATACACTTGCCAGATAAGATGTCAAAGTGACTGTAGAGCATCCATATTTCTTTATTGATGAGAAAAAAATATTTTACTTTTTTGATACTTCTCATCTGCTGAAATGTAGCAGAAACCATTTTTTCGATGACTTTTTGAAATTTGATGATGAATTTACAACGAACAAAAGTCATCTTGGACAACTATACAACTTGGATAAGGAAAAGCAATATAGACTAGCACCCAAACTTACTGATTCTCATTCATTTTCAACTAACTTTCAAAGGATGAAGGTTGAATTAGCCAGTCAAGTATTCAGTCATTCGGTAGCTACAGCGATGAATACTTATGCCAGTTTCAATCAGATACCATCAGCAGCAATAGGGACGGCTGCATTCATTGAAAAAACGGATAAAGTGTTTGATATTTTGAATTCAAATCGATTTGATGATGTCAAACATTTCAATAAACCTTTTTTCGGAACATCAAAACAAATTGATATTCTGAAAGAAATATAAATATTTCTCAGCAAATTAACTGTAATATAAAAAAAAAAGAAAAAACACGACTGGACAAATGAGAATCATTGAGGGGTGGCAACAATTTCAGAATTTCTGCAACTTTGAGAATAGTGCAGGACACTCCTACATATTGACAAGGAATATAAATCAGTACTGCGTGGAAAATTATTTTGGTCAACAGAGAAATACTTGTGGAAATGCCAGAAACTCAACTCCTGTTCAAATTACCAGAGCTTTTAAAAACACATTTACTCTTCAGTATTTCACACAGGCCGAATGAACTTACTGTCTAAAAGATACTAGTGAGATTCTATCTAATAGTATAGATGCTGACATAAATAGAGTGAAGATTCTTGTGGAAGTTCCAAAAAATCCCTATAAACGTTCCCGAAGGCAACAGCTTGGGCTATGTTTGTGCCAAACAGTTTGGCAATTTCTATATGCCTCCAGATTCATTTTTACAAAGTATCATTTATCTATTCATGTGCCATATGATTGCATAGGCAACCAGCTCAAAGCAATGTTTTCAAAAATCAACATTTCTCACCCTTGTGATAATTTTCCTTAGGATTATTTATTTTCCCTTTTCACAAGTGTAAGAATATATTATACTTTGAAATTTGCCAATAGAAATTTGAAAACAAATGTTAAAAAAAACAAAAACTCATCATTCTGAAAAACCTTTAGAATAGATTAGCATAAGTTTTTCACCTAAATTGTATAATCTCACCTTGTTTATAAACAAATTCAAAAACCATCAATATCTTATGAATGATCAAACTGAATTGAATAATCCACCATTATTCAATCTGTTCATTTCCAGGTTTAAAATAGTTGTGTATATTTACGGTACTTCCGAAAAATTTATTGATATAGTTGATGAATTCATACCTGATCGTTTAGAGTATAAAATGGTTGTAATTTGAAAGTAACTTTCAGTTTATGCTTGAGAAAGCTATTGAATAGCGAAACACGTGACGCGGTTTTTTAAAACCCTCTATAGTGAAAATCATACAATAAACTGCATTTATTAGTTTAAATATGGATTTTCATCAAGTATCTGCCAGTTCTATTTAATTAATCTTCCTTTGGATTATTCATTTTCTCTTTTCACAAGGGTAAGAATTTATTATACTTTGACAATAGAAATTTGAAAACAAATGTTAAAAAATCAAAAACTCAACATTCTGAAAAACCTTTAGAATAGCTTAGCATAATATTTTGACATAAATTGTATAATCTTACTTTACAAAATATACGTTCATTTCACCACCTTGTCTTATTTTTCATCAATTCCTAAACAGTTCACAATCATATGAGATATTTATTGTGAGCTCCTCGTAGGAATGATGAAGTCGATCATTGTCACATATTTTCTGATCGAACCTCGTGCAGAGGTGCATGATAGGTCTCTGCCGCCACATGCCGGCAAAAAATAAAATCTTGACCCGAAACATCAAAGAAGCCTACGGGAGTGAATTTACTTTTGTTTACTTCTATACGGTGCTAGTGTGGAGTGTTGTGACGCGTCATAACCCCACTATCGTTCTGACGCCGATCGAGAATCGACCGATCGCCGTCACGGCAGATCGTGTCCCGACACACTGCACTTTAGTAATATCATTGTCTAGTTTAGTCTCTATACAAAGGTATTATAATTCTAAACATACTTAAATGTATGGATACGATATACTTGTGGCGCGTCACGACACATCACACCACGGCTTAAAGATTGAGTGGGACATGCGTATTATCCAGTATAGTGCTGTGGCCCCAGCACAGAATACTGTGACCATATTCAGTGACATGGCAATGATTGATGAAGGTAGTTTAATTATGTTGTAGATGTACTGCAGGAAGCGATTCATATGAATTTTTCTAAATCTTTTTTTAATTTTTTTTTTGAAAAAGTATCAACAAGTAGAACTTACTGTAAGTTTTCTGTAGCGCACACGTATAATGCCAAAAATATTCTGATAGGTTGCTAATGATGTAATTTTCACATCTTGTGTGGAAATGAGTATAAATTTAAAATATTCAACTATATATAGTTTATTCCAGTGATAAGGTGATTATTTAATTTTATCCCTAGTGTATTTTCCATAAGTTAGGTATTATGATTGAAGTTTTTTTTTGAGGTATTCGAAGAACTGATGAGGAAGAAGCCATTATAAATGTGGTAGAATTAAGTTTTAAAAAGTCCCCCAATATTCAGCGAAAAGACCAGATCATATTGCTCGCTGGGATGATGCGCAATTCTTTTCAAGATATCAAATTATGGATTCTGCTTGAGAGTTAGGTATATACTGTAACGAAATTACTTGATTAGTGATTGGGTATACATTACATTATTATCACTATTTTTGTCGTTATTCAAGCTGTTATTATTTAGAACAACGGAAGATCCTGTATATTTTATTCCACTCCAGATGATTAAGTCATTTAGGGTTGAGTCAGACATACGCTTTGTTTCTTTGCGTTTAGATTATGTAAACATGAGTAATCAACAGAATGATTTGAAAATATATTTGGGCAGAATAAAGCATACTTTCAATCAGTGAACATCATTTAATTTATTTTCCGCTGTTACAATACTGTTAGCAAGTTTTTTCTCGAGAGCATGTCCCCTAGGATGTAAAATTTATGCATGAGAAGTCTCAATCTTTTAACACTTTCATTGCCGCCGACACGGCTGCCGTGTTCTACGTGTTATCAGAGAGGTGCCACCGACACGGCTACCGTGTTTAGGTTTCGAAGAATTATAAAGAGCTATACAAATCATAGCACTGCAGGTAAATCTTTCTTAAATGATAGGACATTTAGCCTATGCATTGTATTATATGGAAATGGCCATGGTTTTTATATTAGTGTATTTTACTGTGTTTGGGGTTGTAATCCGTTCTAAGAATAATATTGTTTTGGAAACATAATATTTATGCAAATTAGATTTAATTATCTATGAGAAAGGGTGTTTGGGTTCATTTATACCTGCTGTAGATAAGATTTTGAATTTATCTGCTCAGTTATTTAGTATGCGTATAGACGTGCATTTGTGAATAGTACCATTTCGTGTTTAAAATTGGGAGTGTATTTTTTCTAACAAAAAAAGGACTGAAAATTTAATATGGATAAAATTACGCCATTAATTAATTTTTTCAACCTAAGGATGCAAGAGGTATATTATCCAAATCGACAACTAACAATCGACGAATCCATGGTCTTGTGGCGAGGTAGGTTAATGACATGCAACACTTGTTCATCCCATCTCAAATGGTGGTCAATAACTACACCCAAATATTTTATGGATGTTGTTTTCACAATAGTGGGACAATTACAGAACAACTGCATTATCCTTCAACCACATCACTACTTTGTGTAGTTCTATTTCTGCAGGTTTCACCTTTTAAAACCAAAGCAGTGTCATCAGCATAGCAAACTATGTGCCCCTGAAAATCTCTCGTTCTGTGTAATACTGTATATCAGTACAATTAAAAAAAAAAAAACCCTTAAAACGTTGACCCATTTTTTTATAATTTTTCTTAGAATATTTTTCAAAGGTCCAAAGACATCCAAACAGGAAACAAAAAACAATATATTATGGAATTCCAAGTTTATTGTTGACAAGTCTATTTACAAAATAGAAATAATTCAAACCATACAAGTTGCTAATAGAAAATAAATAACTGACAAACGTACTGTAAAAAATAGTGATTTAAAAATTTAAATTCAGATATCACAACACATACACACATACCACTAAAAACTATATATTCACATTCACACAAATCATAAAAGCAGCATTTTCTCGCCCTTGAACATTACAAAATTTTACATAAACCAAATTAAGGAATGACAAACATCAGTAGAAAAGGTAATCACAATTTTTGGTGTAGGTAATGTTAGGCGAGATACCTTTAGAAATTTTATTAAGATACCCCTAATTTTGATATTAAAGTAACAGTTTTTCAACAAAAACTAATTGGTTATTTGAATCTTTTTAATAATGGGTTAGAAATGTACTTCAATTTCTTGTGAATTTATTAATTATGTCCTGGAAAGAACATTCAAACTGTTTAAATGATCCAATTTTGAAATGTTTAAAAAATCAATATTCAGAAAAATTGAATTTCAAAAACTGTTGACTTCTAACGCAAATAAAAAGATTCAGAACCGAAATAGGTTCTATTTTCAGAGTTTCTTCAAATGTTCTGTATATAATTCTGAATTAGTTGTAATATTTTTTAAAACAAGCCTGCGCAAAGTATCATACTTTCACAGGTGTTTCAACTCCCAAAACAATAGGAAAAGTTAACTGTATAAGTTTATAAAAAATTTAAATGTGTAACAAAAATATCAACATTTTCCTAATTCAAGAATGATCACAATCTCAATTATACTGTAATGAGCTGTCCTGAACACCAGGGACAATGATGAAAATTTTCACTGGGCTGCACCAAATTACTAGTCTTGATTTCTGATAGGAGGGCTATGATTTCTTCTGCAGTTTCCGAACTCTTACTTCCTTCTATGTTTGATTGATGGCTTCTATTCATATTCTTAATTTCATTATGAATGCTAGTATGTTCTTCACAAAAATGTTCACTTTGATCAGATAAACTCTTGTGTTGTTCAAGGATCTCGGTTGGGACCGAACCTTTTTCTTCGACCAGCCTTCTTATAAGGGCATTCAGTTTTTCCAATTTAGTTTTCATTTGTTTTCTGTCGTTATCCAGTTGTTTCAATTGCTGATCTTTTTCCACAGTTTTCTGTTTGAGCATCATTCTTTGTCGTTGGTATAAAGCAACATATTCTCCAATAGTTTCAGTCTCACTTTGAAGTTGCAATACTAGATGTTCCAACCTAAGAGAATAACATTTATTTCAATACGTTACATGAAAAATCTTTACCAGCCAAATCAACAGACTCCAATACCAGTGCAATAAAATTATTGAGAATAAATCTAAAGAAGTGAACTTTAAACGTTCGAGCCAGTCTCGAATATACCTACACAGTAGGTTGAACGGACTGACGCCTATCAGAAAACAACTACTCCCCTGGCTAATACCACGAAGGGCGTTGGATTATATCCGACAGGCGTCAGTGCAGGAATCTTCACAGAAAATTTCCTGCATATGCAATTGGCCATACAACTGAAAGAGTCGACCTTCAAATTAGGAATGGGTACACTTGCAGACCGGTTTCGGGCTCATTAGCCACTCAACAGTACAAGATAGTGGCCATCATCGACCTAAAGTCAATGAATGATATTCCATAATTGAAAATTGGAATTCTTTCAGAGTATTTCATTCCTCTTTCTAAGTTGAAGCGAACAACAAAATGTCACACCATCTAGTGGACGAGGTACTAACCAACCGCGTATCCGAAATTTGCCTGATTCCTCTGAATAAGGAAGTCACTGACTATTAGTCAGTGACTAATAAGAAAGGAAATTTTCTGTGAAGATTCTTGCACTGACGCCTACAGCCTGGGCTGTAGAATAATTTCTAAGAAAACCAAATTTTGTGATATTTTTGGTGATATTTTATTACAAAATATCTTTTAATTTGAAGAACTAATAAAAAACCTACTACCGTGTGGCATATTTGTTCAATACATTACCTCTGTTTCTCGTCTGTAAGATCAGCAATTTTCTGCATGGTATGTTTAACTTTCTCCTCCAAATGCCTCATGGCCGATTCTTTATCCAAAGTATCAGTGTTCTCATCAAAGTGTTTACCAAACATTGAATGGTCTTCTAGCTTCAACTCTAGTTCATGATTTTTCAATTCTAGTTCTTCAAGCTGTTTCCTCAAATCACCCTCATCTATTTTATCCATACTATCTATTACTTTATCAGATTTCCTCTCATTTCTCAAAATGTTCATCTCATTAGTAAGCCTAATAACTGTAGACTTTGTTTCACGTAGTTCTTGCTGCAGAGTCTGGGTCAAATTATCTTGAACCTCACAGTGACTTAGTCGATCTGAGAGCTGTTCCTGTGTCAATATTTGTCTGTTCAATTCTGTGGTATTTTCCCTCAAATGAGATAATTCACGATCTTTAATCTCGATGGCATCAGTAAGTCTTTGAAGTTGAAGTTCTGTTTTCTGAAGTTTTTCCAATAGTTCTTTATTACTGGATAGTTCCAAGTTGAGTTTTTCTGTGAGTTCAACTTTATCATTATCCTGAAAGAGAGAAAATGATAACTGAATAGGATGTGAAAAAAAATCAAATGACAAAGCCACTTATTACTATCAATCAATCAATCAAATATGCTTTAATGTCATAGTATAGGTGAAACAAGTTAAAATGTTAAAAACAATAAAATGGTACTGATACAGACTTGCCAAGTGCTAGCTAGTAAAATGAAAAGTAGGTACGGCCACATGATTGAAAACATATTAAAATCAATCATAATAAAGGAGGCAAGTGTATTTTAAAGGCAACAAAAAGGTTCACTATTAAAAAAATCCTCCATATTGTAGAATGGATAGGTGAATAGCAGTTCTTTAAAATATTTTTTAAACAACCCTAACGATTCAATTTCCCTTAAGCTTGGTGGTGAGCAATTATAAATTTTGTCCATTATAAAAATGAGATATTCCTTAACAAGATTATTTTTGGTAGAGGTAGACTAAATTTTTGTCATGATCGTATGTTATGACATGAGGACATTGTATTTTTTTAATGCTTTACTGTCGGAAGATTAGTATCTTATTGAAAAAGCTCGTAGAAAAATAAAATCCATCTCATAAAATACAAACATAGCAATTTCACAAATGAAACTTCAAGAAAAAAGACGAGTTAAGGTGAACATTGAAAAATCAAGTAGAATTTACAAGTTATCACTGTAGAATTCATGGATCAAAAAAATAAGCTTTTTTGATTAAAACATCTTCAACTGTACTTAGGAACTTTTCGATATCTGTTCTATTTTTTTAAATGGTAGGAAGGTGATTATATACATTAATACTTTCATACTTTATTTGTTACAATTCTTGTATATTAAGAAAGTGGTTTCTAAAATGATTGAAGTGACTGCGAGAATTCTATTATTTTTGAAAAGGTCCCTGCAAGAATCACGCATATTAACTTTACTTTACAAAAGGGCCCTTATACCTCTTTTTTGTACAACTTGAAACATATGTAAGAGTTGTTTGTAGCATACTCCCCAGAAGGCTATGCCATAGACTAGACCAAATACACGCCAAGCTAACTTGATCAGACTTCTCCTGCCCATGACAATGGATTCATTAATATAGAACGGAATAAAGATCACATTTTTCACAAACAAAATTAGTTGTGAACATTTTATACATTCCAAAGTGACGTACTGAACTATAATTAATAAAATTAACTCTATCCTGAATTAAAAAAAAATCTGTTACCATATACTAATCAATTTGGTTACTTTATGACATAAAAATTTCAATTTACCTTTGAAAATTCAAGAAATACACGGTTAATATAAACAAAATTGTTGTAATGAGTGTCATAAATAAGATGGAACAATATAGTTAACATTTACTTTCTATAAATATATTACGGAAATTCAGGATGTTTACGAACAGTTCAAGTTTGAAAAGCTTGCTTTCCAGCAACACCAACCAGTGTAGTGACTCTATTTTTCTTCACAATATCTTATCTTAATTTTTACATATGATCATTCGGTTTTTTGTAAACTATTCAAGAATGACTAGTGTTGAAGAAGGCATCATGTTGATGATAATGTATCACGAAGAATATAGTGGTGATTTTCAGCAAGCATTTATCATTTTGTAAATTTTTTGAATATGTCAAATAATCATTTGAACAATCTGCCCTAATATTGATTTTGGAGAATATATTTTTCTATCTCGCTATTGTAATATACTGAACACAAGGCAGATACAATGGAGATAACAGATCTCAATTATTGAAGCGAGCTAATTGAGAATTCAGATATGTAATAAATGAACACACCTGTCGTACTAACGTAACATCAAATAAAAAATTGATGGGAAATTTAGGAGTAACTAGATTTTGACTCAATCTGCCGGATCACTTCCATACGATAAAATATAAAAAACATACCAATTTCATGAATACTTCTTGCATGCTCTCCATTTGCTCCTTCAGTTCCTTGTTCTGTTGAACTGCTCTTGCAGCTGCCACTTTATCACTTTCCATTGTGGCTAATAACTTTACACTATCAGGTTGGTTCCCTCTCAGTTGTTCAACCATGCTTTCTAGTTGGCTAAGGGAGTCGTTTTTAGCTGTCAATTCTTTCAACAGCATATCCTTTTCGTTCACAGCTTTCGTAAAGTTTTCCTCTGCAGAGGTTTTTTCAATCTGAAAAATTTCATTTGGGTTTTGTTAGAAAATTGACAAGAATGGAAAAATTACGATCGCACAGATATCAAAATACTTTGTTAATACAACATTTTTACTGTAACTAAAAAATATGGGCATATTCTGATACTAGTAGTATAAACAGAAAGACATATGTTCTGTATATCAACATTTTGAAAAAAAATATAGAAATGCAGTAGAGGAACAACTTACTATGATTGCAGAGTTCTAATGAAAGAAAAAACATTGCAATTACCATTACATTTTGATACTTCAATTCGACCAGAAACCCCTTCCTCCATTTAGGAAAATTAATCTAGCCTAGAATAATGGTTTACCTACTAAACATATTTCATGTTTTGGGTATTAAAAAACCCAAAGACATTTAGAAGAGTGCCAACCTGAATGCAGCATGAGATTTCTGTCAAAAAGTAACAGGATTAGCACATAACAATAGTTTCAATTAATTGATAGAACAGAAATCTATTCATCACAAACAATTCCAAAGAACATATTTACTTACATAGGAAATATCACACTATACAATAGAAGTAATCACAAAATATAGCAATGTATGTATTATTGTAGGTTTTCACATATGGTGAAATATGTGAAGTTGCTTTTCCAGGCATTCATTTGTTGTGTAGTTTTCAAAAGATGACGTTTTGCCATCATCTCAGATAGAATTATAAAGACTTGCTATCGCTTGTTTTTCTTGAAACTTATGTGATTTCTTCTCTCTCCTGAGATGTATTTATATGTTGCCACTTGTGTAGATTATAGTGATGGTGAAACATTGACATTTTGAAAATACACAAATTGAAAATACAATACATTGAAAACTCAGAAAAACAACTTCATAAAGTAGGTATGTATGGATTAAATGTAAATACAAATTCTATTTCTCACTAATGTAGAAACTCATTATCTAAGTAAAAAGCATTTGCTGAAAACAAAAGTGTTTTCACTCTAAGGTCCTAGACATCTCCAACTATATCATTCAAAATGTTTTACAACCTGCGACTCCTGCCCTAAAGGCAGTCAGGAATGAGGCAAAAGTAATTCATTCACTCTGGGTGTTGTATAATGTACCTCACATAGTTTTATCTTCTTTGTGTCCATGTTGTACGTATGTGCCGAATCAATGAAGATTTACAATGTAATGGTCTCCTCCACAAAGCCTAACCACATGACAGTATGGACTGTTGCAGTCCAAAGTACGTCAGTCAGTTACATTTGTAGACATTCCTCGTTAACACGAGTTATTCAGTTTCATGACCAAATTTTTCCGAAGTTAAATTTTGGTTCACTGTCATGTCTGGGTACTCAAAATGCCCTACTTGCTCTATAAATTGATGATACCAATCTCTAGTAGGGGAGAGTCATAGAGACCATCTTTTTTTATGTCATCCCGTTATTGATCCTTGAGTGCCTTGTTTCGAGTGTTTTTTTCAGTTTGTTCGTTGAAGGTTTCCACTGAATTGGCAATGACTATAAGAGAATTATTCTCCAAATATATGAAAACTCCTTTTAACACTCTTCAATATGTTTTCCAAGATTGATATGTGGTCGACTGAAAGTCCTAGAGAAGTCACAGAATAGAGCAATTGACGATTGAATATTATTAATGTTTAATGTTATTGCAGTTGAAGTAGATCACAGTTTGAAGTCAAGTTGACAATCAACCATGAGTTTAATCAATGCATTTCTGTAATTGCTACTTTATGAAATAATAAATCGAGGTGTATTTAAAAATTATAATCATTGATCTTAACAATATTCTTATATGATCCAAGAAACATTTTTTCAACATTTTGATGATATGCAAAACATTTTTTCAAAATTTTGACAATATGCAAACAATTCTTCAACATTTTGTCGATATGCAAACATTTTTTCAAGCAAATAAATTTGAATATGTTCAAAGCTTTTAATAACCACTTGAACTTTACTCGCTTTGATCAAACTTATATAATTATTTTTGATCATTGAAAGTATCTTGATGTGTTAGCCAAAATTACTATAATAAAGAAATCTAAGCCAATGTGCTAAGTTTTGAGTTAATCATTTTCCAAGATGTATATGTTTAGTTGATTGTTATTTTCCTCAAATATCTATTTCTACTTGAAATATTGAGTAGTTTTCAGACATTTTTGAGAAGTAACTGAAATTCAACTTGCCTAGAATAAATGTCAATTGAAAAAACATTTCTTGTAGCATTGATAGTACAAATTAATTATCACAATTGTACGAGATAAAAATTCAAGCCTGTAAACCTAAATAAACATCCATTTAAAAAACTAACTGAAAACATTCATGTTTGGTTCACTTGGCCCTTTTGAAGTCTGACAAAACAGTTCTCTTCATTCTGAAGAATTCTTTGTTTACATCTTGAACTCCAATCTTCATATCCATCTTAGGCCAATAATTTTGAAAATTCCACGAGACCTAGCAAAGAATAAAATCATGTAGATCATTGTAGGCAATGAATAACTTTTGACATTAGAAACTACTCAACAAGTATATTGCTTTTTATCTCTTTACAGCAGAATCTCTTATTGAAGGCAAATATTTTTCTGAGAAACGTCGATCCTTGCTCAATTATCTTTGGTTCACCCATGCAGGCTTACCTCTCAATCTCTTAGTATTTTATATCAACTACAGCTACAAGATAATCTTGTAGTGTTTTTTTTTTCGAAGACTAGACAAATCACAAAAATATGATTTGTTAGTTTCAACAGTGTAGGCTATGGCTGCTCTGAATACATGGTTCTTTTCTTCAAGTGGTCTATGGTTGATTTCATAGATATTTACATTCATTACTGCAGGTCCCATTGGATCTTCGATATAGTTGAAGACCAGAAAATGTGCCAGAACGAGGTTAACGAACTCCTCTCGAATGGATGAATGATACGAGTCAACCAGCTTATATCTTGATTTCCAGAACTGTAAATGGAAATGATCAACAAGAAAAATATACTCCATTAATACAACATTGTATACTGTTTATCCACCAACCCTCTACTAAACTGTCATAATGACAGCACACCAAAAACTAGCAGTATCACAACCATTGAAATTTGTTCAATTTTTATAGTAGCTCATTTCTGACATGAGTTCTTGATACGGCAACTCCTCACGAAGCTCTGTTGACACAATCTGCTAGAGTATAATCCTATGAGAGGTAGCTCGAATTCCACAGTCGTTTTCTTCTTCTTCTCCTCTAACACAAAAAAATCTTACACTGAGTGTTCGATTTTTTCATGTTGATAAGGCTGGCAACATTTCAATCACCTTCAGGAACTTTTCGCCAATGAGCACAATAAATAGATCAAGTCACTACTTGAAAATAATAAGATAATGGGAAGCAAAGAGTTCTTACGAATTTTTGGATAAAATATCAAAAACACTGAACAGTACTACCTTAGATGCCAAGATAAAATTCAATACTATATCTTTTCTTTCACATTTATTAAATCATAATTGCAAAATTAGATTTGCAAATAAACAAACTTTTAGTATTTTGAATAGCATATACTACATCAATGTGAAACATTCTTAAAAAGTACACATCAAGGTAAATAAATATTGAAGAAACTTTGTTAGATCATCCAGCTGGGTGTGTATCACCCAGCATCATCTATCCACAAAAAAGAAACCTTTTACAGAGTTTAATGTTTTCAGACACTTTTTCTCATTAAAAGATCATCAGAATGTGTTCAAAACAGATATTGAAAAGTTTTCATATAAATTATTTAACTTCAATCCAGTAACTTCCTTTGCTGTGACAAGATATGCACAATACACAATTTCAGACAGTACTCATATTCTAGTTTCATAGACCATTGATATGTACACTAGTCAATGTTTATGATAAGTCTTATCCCAAATTCAAAAACTCTAAGCTTCCCTAACTCGTCAAAAGTGAACACTGAACATATTTATAAAGCGTACCAATACCGCATCCAATATTGAAAATGAAAAATTATCTTCAAATAGGACCGGAGTTCCGAACTAGAACCATAACATATTACTTTAATGAATATACAAAAAAAAACTTGTATCACAAAAAATGACACAGGAATACTTCAAATACCACAAAATAAAAGTTCCAACAGGGTTATTGGAACCTGTGAGTCACAAAGTTATGGACATGGCTATTTAAGCGGATAGTAGCCATTCCAAATTTGCATAAACAATATCCTAACAAATGGTGAAAAGTGTTTGCTTTCAATTCAAGTGCAGCAACATTGAATCAAATAAATGATCACATTGTGTGTGGAAAACACAACCTAGTGATATTTTTATCCATGTACCTTTGAATATCACATTATATTTATAATTTCACTTACCAAATCACAATCAGATCTTCTTATAAATATTCCATAACAGTTACAACTGAAGTGAGATCTCGCAATTGAAATTCGTTTCATTTTTCCAAGGGCTCCCAAGATGTGCCTATGTATACCCTGAAAGGAAAATACTTTTTCAATTTCTTTAAAATTGAAACAGACTGTAAAACTTACGTCGACCACCAGATGTCAGTTTTGAAAACATCAAATAGGTTCCCATTTCTGTCTGGAGCAAAGTAGATGTAGTTGTGTTCAGGACGTATCTATTACACACTAGTTCATTTCCCAATTTCAATTATACAGTATCTAATATACAATATTTTTTCAACACTTCCATAGAATAAATAATTAAAGTAAGTTGACAGAACACAATTTTCTTTAAAAAACATAATTATGGTTTTCTTTTTCCAAATTTCGAATAAGAGAAAAAAAAAGTTTTATATCAATGGTAATTTACAATTTGAAAATAAAAGGTATTCAAAGATTTGAAATGTTGAAAATCTATGTAAATGTTGGGTAAAATTTTGTATCACACTTGCGATTTTACACATTTCTACATTAATTTTTTTCTAGCGTTCTGCATACATGTGTAAAATAATTTGTTAGGCACTAAAAAATTTGAATGTACATAGAGAAATTAAACATACATACAGATACATATTGAAGTTCTTTAGTTGATAAAATATTAATTACAACATCCTAAATTAAGGGTATCCTAAAGAGTCAATTCATTGGCCGAACCTGTTTAATCTCTGAAATAGTAATTTATAGGAATTTCATTTTCAATGAGATGAACAAAATTCATTGCAAAACTTTGATATTGTTCTAACAATGTTTTGAGAACATCAAATATCAAGTTACTTTCATTGAAAACTGATCCTTCTAAACATGATTTAAAATCTTTTATATTTTCCCTTTTCTTATTCTTATGACAATTCAGAAGGAGCAAAATTATTTCACTTGTGAAATTTACCAAATCATAAGCTTTCACTAAGAATAAGGAAAAGTAGACGTTCGGTCAAACCCATTTTGGATGAGAAATTAGTTCAGAGGCGTCACAGCAAAAATACTGTTGGCGACGCTTACTCAAAATTAATATACTTATTTCAATAGTGAAGCAACTGATGAAAAATTGATGTATGTACTGTAATACCAAAATATTTAGTGATCTAATGAAGTTTTCAGAAATTCAAACCCCTTGGTCTTCCCCTTCAATATTAACCCCGTCCTCTATTTTCATATTTTCTTCCTCCCCATCTGCTTCTGTATTCTGTTCCTCCCCTTCTGTTCCTGTACCCTGTTCCTCCCCTTCTGCTCCTGTACTCTGTTCCACCCCTTCTGCATCTGCTTTTTCCATATTACCATCCTGTTCTTTACTCTCACTTGTATCTTTTGCTTCTTCTTTTTTTACACGAGGTCTAAACTTTCCTAAATGTTTAACTTTGATTCTAGTAAAATTCAAAAATGGTCGGAAATCTATGTTCTTGAGAGCTTCCAAAACGCTGTCTTCTACAGAGACATTAATTACTTGACCATTTTCTTCAATTTTCTGATCGATAAAATGCCACTCCTTTGTCCTCAGACCTTTATTCTGTCGTTCAAGACGTTCTAGAACTTGATCTGGATTCTCAGGTGTACCTGGAATCCATATTGAAAGCATGTTGAGTACAGGAACATCCTTTGGCTCAAGAACACTCAATTCAGGTCCATCCCAAGAAACCAGTTTCTTTACAGCATCCTTCAACCACTCTACACTTTCTTGATTATTACAATCTAAGACAAGAGTTCCTCTCAACTTGAAGCATTTGAGGAATTGTGGCATGAAGCACTCCCCAGGTATTATGTCAATAAGCTTTAAAATATGTGATTGTAGACTATCCAACTGTTCAGGAGTTAAAATGGTCAATGGATATTGGTTTGGAATGATGACCATCTGGGATATCTTTCCTGGTTCAATCACCTTGAGCTGTGCCCCTTCCCATGGAGTCAAACCTGGGGCAGTGTTTTTCAACCAATCCACACTTTCTTGATTGAAACAATCGATAGTAAGAGTTCCCTTTCTTTTGAAACAATCCAAAAATTGAGGGCGGAATGCACCATCCTCAATTTTATCTATTGAGTTGAGAAGTTCAGTTTGCAAACTATCCAACTGTTCTTCAGTCATAATAGTAACTGGATACTGTAAAGGTACCACCAACATATTTATTCCTGAAGGGGCTTTCTGTGATTGAGGCTTATCACTTTGAGGTTTGTTGGTTTCTCTTTTGGTGAAACTTTGGGCCCTTGGTCTTATCATTCTTCTTTGTGTATTTCCACGACCCCTGAAATTTTTATGATTTGACAAATTACGTCCTCTAGTTGGTGATTCAAAGCTATCGCTCCTACGAGCTATTTTTGGCGAACGAATGGGAGACCTGTTTCGGGGTCTCTTTCGTTGGTATCTTCTGTTAATAGAATTATCGCTTCGGTGGTATGCTGGAGCTCCTAATCTTTGTGAATTGTTTTGGTTGCTTTCCGTCCTCTGGTATGCCCCACGGGCTCCCTGATTAGGTCTATTTGATTTATATTGGTTATTTGGTTTCATAATTGTTCCCACGAGTAGCTAGGGAATTACTTTGTCCATCCCCACAGAGCCCCGCATGTAGGGAGAAGGGCTTGATCACAATGGGATAACGCCCAACTATCCCAAAGGTATCGTTACAAGCACTATAACCCTAGCGCCATTCACACCGTAGGCACGATAACTTACACCTTAGTGTTGGGGATTTATTTTCGAGGTTTACTCCTCTAACAAAAAGTAGCATGCCCTTTCAATTGTATTTTGTAGAAAAAATTAGAGATAATGTTATCATCCTTGGAAGTAATTTTGTTACAAAAATTAACGAAATATTATCGAACTGTAAGGAATAAAAACAAAATATATGCAGTAATGTAAAAAAATTAATTTGTGTTGAGCCTGATACAAAAAGCAGCTTCGCAATTGTACTTATCATGATTTTAAATTAATAAAATTTAGTTTTCAGAAACTTCCTCGCTGTCATCTTTTTTGATTTCTGGTTCCGTTTCCGTATTCTCTGCCATTGTCTCAGCCGTATCAGGTTTGACTTCTTCTGTGGCTTTAGATTTTTGTTCTTCCTCAGATTTTTTCTCTTCAGGTTTTGGAGAGCTCTTTCCTATTCTCATCACTCCCAACTTTCTTATTTCAATTCTGGAGAAATTGAGGAACGGTTTAAAATCAATTTTTTTGAGAGCCTCTATTACATCTTCTTCTACAGACATTAATATCATTTGCAAATTTTTTTCAGTTTTTTGATTGAGAAGGTGCCAGGACTTTGTCAGCAGTCCCTCATTTTGACGCTCCAAACGTTCAAGTAATTTCTCTGGTTCCTCTGTACCATCTGGAACCCTGATTTGAATAGTGTAGTAAAGAGGTAAGTCTTTTGGTTCAATGACTTTTAGGTGAGCTTCTTCCCATGGTGTTAAAGTTTCCGCTATAGTTTTCAACCAATCAACACTATCTTGATTGTTACAAGAAACTACAAGCATTCCTCGTCTTTTGGTGCAACTTAAAAATTGTGGATGGAAGGCCTCATCAGCAAGGTTGTCAATTTCTTGCAAAATTAATGACTGTACATTTTCTAGCTGTTCATCAGACATTACTTTAGGTGGAAATTCGCCAGGTACAATCACCATTTCAATACCTTTTGGCTCCTCTTCTTCTCTTTTACGTTTGACACTGCCAGCTTTATCTGCGCTCGATTGCGAGCCATTTTGTTTCCGTTTTTGTGGCCCTTTTTTATTTTGATTAGTTCTGTTTTGTGACTTATGTATATTCATTGGTCTTCGTACATATTCGTTTCTTTGTCTTTGTTGCATTGAGCGATTGTAGGGTTGACGGTAACCGCCTCCCTGATAATCCAGCCATGGGCTGGCTGAATTGTTATATCCCGGGAGTGCCCAGGGGGAAGGTTGGTAAGATTGTTGGTTTTGTTGATTAAATCGATAATTAGGCTTCATAATTGTTCCCACGAGTAGCTAGGGAAGTAACATGTCCATCCCTGCAGAGCCCCGCATGCAGAGACAAGGGCAAAAATACAATAAGACATCGCCCAATATCTTACCGGTATCGTTATATGCACTATAACCCTAGCGCCATACATGCTTTCAACACGATAACTCACGTCTTAGCATTGGGGATTTTTTATCGAGGTTTACTCCTCTACTGAGAAATTGTGTGTGTGTGTGTATTTTAATGTAGTCATGAGGTTGCCATGATGAAGTGGTGTTCCAAATAGATGTACACCCGGCACACCACTACCCAAACGTGCGCGCGCACACATATATAAAAATGTCAGTAGAAAGGTAAACAATGAACAATTTAAGAAATGTTGAAACTCGGAATCACAGTTTTATGTAAAATATAAATTGAATAATGAAAATGTAAAAAAAATAACATTTCATTAAGAAGCCCATTCAAAATGACAGATGATTGAGACATGCTCAGCAGTGAAAAGGAGAAGCGTTCATGTAACATCGACTTGTTACAAACAACCAGTGTTCTTAATTAGCGATAATCTTATATGTTGGTGGATAATTTGGATGAGAAATACAGATTTTAAAGAATTTGATGCCAGAAACAAGAAGTAGAAATAGATGGAGCACTATAAATTGTTTGACGTGACATTATTGCACTCAAAAATGATATTGAAAAACTTGGCATTCCAACAAAACAGAAGGCAATATGAAACTGATCAATTACACTCCCCCTTTTGAGTGTAAAATTAAAACTCAGTGCAATATTTGCCCTTGTTCCGAAATTGCTTAGTAACGTTATAAACTTTGTCTCTTCCAACTTTTGTTCTCTCATGTTTTAGTAAGGTTCTCTTATATAAAATGACTTAGACTCAACAAATAACTTAGGGAATTTATAAAGCAATAATGTGCAATGCTGAAAACTATTGGTAGGATTGTTTTCTTCGAAAGATGCAGTCGGATGCATATTAACAAAAATTTAAAATTTGTCACATTACTTTTCGTACTTCTATTTTCCAGCCGTTCCAGAAAAGATATTGAGTGAGTAAAAATATTGAAACTGGAATCATTACTTGAAATTTGAGGGCTCTACTTATTACCAAGGAGGGGCGGTTTGAAAGATAAAGAAGATGTGTGAAATTTCAATTTGATAACATGTTTCATTTTAAAAAAAAAAAAAAAAAACAAAAAAATACTAAGTTTGTTATTCGTGTTGCCATAGTCCATGTTTTATTAGACAAAAGTTATCTTTGGAATGGTCTATACTGCTTAGATCACAAGTGATCATCTTCAAGAGGAAGATTAAACTCTAAATTCTTAATTAATTTCTTTAAGAAACAGCATATTATTTTCTATTTGTATTCTCATCATTGCAAAATTCGCATTTCCGAATATTCAATCAAAATTGATGAAATCATCATGGAATTCACAACATTGCTGGAAATTGAAATGATAGTGATAAAACATTCTTCTAGTTACAAGGATTACTGGTCATCTAAAAATGAACTTCGGTACAAATATCAATACATCACTACAAACAATACATCTGTTGTAAAAAAAATGCATTATTCCAGGAATAGTTTGTCAATTGCTATAATAGACTATAGGCGTTGTATGGGCTGCATTGACAAAACTGATGTACCGAAATCCTAGTGAGGTATGGATGTGAAGAGTTCAAAGTGATGGCGTCAGCTAGTTTTCAGTGAAAAAAAAAACTGAAAACTAAATGAAATTTAGGAAATTTTGTCTTGAAATTTCATCAGGTTTGGTTTTAGGGCCACTTCATTGAAACAAAACTTTTGAAGACTCTCCGATTCACCTGCCTAGAGTACATTCAAAGTTTATGTGTCGTAAAACGAAACATCAAGACATTGTACACATCGTAGTACTTCCAAGGAACCACTTTGCACCAGATGGAGCTATAGTGTATTCAAAGCGTGTGTGAAAGTCATCCACTGAAAATTGTTTTGTTGAATTTCATAAAGTTTGAAATGTCATATCACTGAGGATGTATTATTGATTTTTTTTTTCAAACAAATTGTTTTTGCTTTTTTGTTTTTCAACTCAAAGACAAAGTGATTTCACTACAAAATCATATGTTACTTGATTTACCTAATTCGTACTCCAAAGACAATCGAAATTTTTTCAAGACTCCAAATGATAAATCAATTATTAATATTTTCCAATATATAAATTAATAACCCATCTGCTCAGAGTTCAAACATAATCTACATTAACATCTTCCAATCGCTCATCTTTACTATATGGAAAATAGGACTCGATTTTCTAATTCCTATAAAATTGAAAGAGTAGTATATGCTTAGAGGACAATGAGAACACTTCATCAGTTACCTCATCGCCTTTGATAATGTTCTCCACGAAACGTCATGCTTAAAAACCTGAAGACCTCGCCCAACAAACGAGGATAATAGATTTAACATATCTCCATCCGTGAAAGTATACATTCTTTCATGAAAAGGGTCTTGTTTCCCAGGTTATGTACTTTTCACGTGAAAATTCTCACCTGAAGCTGGATACACAATTCCCTTGTAGAATCCAGCTCGTTTTTCAGGTTCGATTCCCCATTTGGTCGATTCACTGTAAATGCAATCTGTTCATTTTGCAGGCTTTGAAGCTGTCTCTCAAGTTCTCCAATATGTTTAATTCGATTCTGTTCTTGAACTGAAAGGTCTTCATTTTCTTGCTGCAGTCGTTGAACCTACACAGAATAAAATTAGTAAAGACATAACTCATACTATAATTAAATAAGTAATTATTTTACCTGATTGGAAAGACCAGCGAGCTGAGTGTTCAATTCTTGAGTATATTGCTGATATTGAGTAGTAGACTCCTCTCTTTCCTTTGTCATGGTTTTCATCTTGAGAACCAAGTTGGCCAATTGCTTTTCCAGTTCAAATTTCTCTTGCGTCAATTTTTGTACTTGACTTTCCACCTGAATGAAGAACAAACAAGTTTCAAACATAAAATAATGCCAATGAAATTAATTTATTAGTAGAGTTATACTATTGTGAAACATTTAAATTCAAGAGAAACCTGATGAAAATTATCCCAACACAAAAGTATTTGTCAAAGTTAAGTCAGTATAAAAAATGTATAGAAACACCCTGATGTGATCAGTTGGACCCCTTCTCTATGTAAAATATTTTGTCAAAAACACTATCCATGGCATTCTCAATAAGACGATAAAGAGATCCAGTAAATTCCCAACATTCCATTCACAGAGGTGTCGAGCACACATCAAATAATGTCTTTGAGTGACTGCTCGACAATGTCAAGTTGACCTTTCAATATTTACATTCAGAAATAAACTGAAATTGAGTAAAAAAAAATGTTCATTTAATAGTTCATAAATTGGAGGTATGAATGATTATTTGTATGGAAACCACTTTGGTAAGGGTGGGTAATTACAAAAAACTTTCACCTCATATTTGCTGTCATTATTTTATCTTTCAATTCATGAATGTTCCGACCTTTTTCAAAAATTTTTGAAAATAAATTCATTCTTATTCTCAAAACTGGCAATTTAATTGTGCATATTCTTCACTTACTTTGTGTTGGTTTCTTCTTTAATGAGCATTTTTTTTGGGCAATGAATATATTTTGATATCAATCATGAATTTTCATAAATGTAAGCTTCACGAAGTTATAAAGCTTATCATATCTGAAACCAATCTGTAGAGAATAAATTTCAAACTATCCATCACCCGACAATAGTTTGCCCAAAAATTATGCATAAATAACTAACAAAAACAATGAAATTCAGAACACAAAATGAACCAGGGCTGGTCATAAGTACTGCCCCTTACCACACACAAAATTTGTATGATGTAAAACCCTTGCTTGCTTTCTACTACTTGTTTACATTTTATTTTTCCAAATACTTTTTACCTATAAAACATACAGTGTGCCGATCTCCAACCAACCATGTCTTCTGTGAATGAATTAAAATAAAATTGAGGAGAGTACAAATATAATAGGACGACATATAGAACAATTTGACGTTTGAATTATTGGGTGATGTCAAAACAAAAAATAAGTTTCTTTCCTTTCCGAGGTTGAAACCCCTTCAGTGATGAAAGTAGTAGATGGTAAATGCTGAATCCAGTTACCGCTTAACATATTCAAATACAAAGCAGTATTAATCACTGGAAGGGGTGGATCAGTGTTGCAAAATATTATTCTTGCACCATCTGTCTACATGTTTACAAAATTGGGTTCAACTCTTTAATCATGGCGAGTTTTTTTGACGAAATGAAAGCAAACTGGTGAAAACACCTTGGTTTCTAGGCATCTTGTCAGTACCATTAGAAAATGCAAGTCAATCAGAAATAACTTCTGTACAAATTTCATTAGATCCACCATAGTCACTAAAAGTTATCTGTAAAAGTTCAAAACCCTTTTCATTCATTGAAAAAATGAAAGTTTTTGAAGCACCCCACCAAACTAGTTATTCTCACTTCTGAATGTCAAAGTTGTAAATGATTCCATCTGTCCATCAGGTAAACCAAAGTATTATTCAAGTTAAAAAAAGTAAAAGAGCAAAGAATTGCATTAAAAATATATTTTATCTGAGAAATGTTTTGGAGAGGAATTTTCACTATCAACAGATAGAGTTCGCCTTTTCTTATGAAAGTGTCAACATGGTTATTTAATTATTCTGTTCAGTCCAACATTCCATTCCTACATGATTTTAGAGATTTCAAGTATTTGTGTGTGTGTGTGTGTGTGTCTATTTCATACAAAGTTGTAAAATTACGTATTAATCATTACACTTCATTTACCTACCTGATGCTGCTGTTCTCCACTTGTAATCTGCTGGATCGTAATCTCTGCCAAAGAAAGTTTTCTCGAAAGCTCCTGGTTCAGTTTCTGAAGTTGTAAATTGTCTTCGGAACTATTCTTAAGCTTTTCTCTCACTTCTAAGAGATCTTGTGCAACTTCCTCCATTTGTTCTTGAAGACTACTGTTGAAGTTTCTCAATTGATTGATAATACCTATTTGCTCTTGTCCGATGTTTTCTTTTTTTGTTTTCTCCGCCCTCAAAACATTTAATTCTTGTTCAAGCTCAAAGGCTCTCGATCGAGACGCTTTCAAACGAGCTTGCAGTTCTTCACATTCAGAGTTTTTCTGTTTAGAAATCAATTCTAACTGACTCAAGCTAGCTGAGAGTTCAGTTTTTTCTGCTACGAGCAGACCCACTGTTTGAATGTGACACTGCAGTTCTTCCCTCAATCGACTAATCTCACTAGCAGTTTGAAGGCTAGTACTCTCTTCTTTCTCTTTCATTTTCATTTCTAAATCAACTATTCTAGCTTGCAACTCTTCTAATTGAGCTTTTTGTTGTTCAGAGTTCAAGCGTTCATGTTCTAACAAGGATGCCAGTTCCAAGTTTCGCTTTTCTAAATCTGTAATGGGATTAGATATGGCATATTCAGGTTCTATAAGCTGTGCCATTTGATTAGAGAGCTGTTTCAAGCTCTCCACACTGGAGTGTTTCACCTCGGCTTGTGCTGTGTTTGAGTTAAAGATAATTTCATTTTTGATTGCAGCATTCTCGCTAGCACTAATTTCTTCTTTATTACCATTCTGATAGTTCATGAAGTCTTCTGTATTTTCAGTTTTTCTGTGATGTTCAAAGAGGTCGTTCTCTTTAATTTCTGGATCATCCAAGCTCAGATTATCTTGATCGGGATGTAGAATCTGCTGCGTCTCTGCAACATAGTTATGTTGAGTTTCTTGTGGGAATAAAGCATAACTTTCAGTAAACTGAGGCTCAAAACTGTCTTCAGTATATTTTGGAGTATCTACTATATTTGAAACCATAGTTTCCAAGCTACTTGGAGATTGTGGAGCATTGAAATAATTAAAAATGTTATTATCCGATGTTTGATTGCCGTGTTCACTGACTTCACCTTTCGCCAGAGTATCGAAAAACATGGAGTTGTCTCCATAATTAGAATTATCAAAATAATTTGTTAAAGAGGTGGGAGTGGTGAAGGCGACTCCAGTGTCTTCTACAGAAACTTCATTATTTAATGAACTATGAGTTGAGCTAGTTAGGCTGTCTATAGCAGCTGGTTGATTACTAATATTGTCAGCAATTTGCTTTTGACTAGCATCTTTCTTTTTCTTCAATTCCTGCAATTCTTTGAACTGAAAGAGATTTCAATATGTTTACTGGTGATTCATAATTATCTTAAATTGGATTGTTAGGATCAGAGATTACTGAATCAAGTTTTCCAGTTCGCAGTAAAGTTTGATATGGATTATCGAAACTCAAAGAGCAAGTGAACTGAATCTCATACAAAACATGAAAAAGTAGATTTTCATCTTTCAACTACTTACAATCATTTATAAATTGAAAAAACTGAAATTTCACTATAGCAGAAATTGATATCTTCAATATTGACACATATAATAGTATACCTAACCATAAAAGTATGTATGCAAGACATTCTGGATTTTAAGATGAATTTTCATTGGTTGCACCTCAGATGTATAGCAATTACAGGATGTTTCCGAATAAAATTATATAAGAATTGAAAATGTATCAAAGGATCTGCTGAATGTATAAAACTTTGAGGATTTGCACTGTAATTCGTTTTTGGAACTCATTGTTTAGTTTTGTGAAATAAATGAGATATGTATTTTCTTATGGCTGTTTTTGTCATTTTATAATCACACCAATTGAAATTTTGAGATGATTGGTGTTCTTGCTAAAAACCAATCGGTACTTCAAAATCAAACGAGTCCATTGAGATAAGATACAAATAATGCTAGTGATTATCATGATTTCATTGAACATAACAATTTTTTGAAGCGTACCAAAAATATTCAACTCAACTATATCTTAACAATCGAAGGGTGCTTATATAAAGAAGATTTCTGCCTCCGATTTATTGAAAGTCAGTACTGATAGCTTTAACCTGTATATAAAAACGATCAGTAAATATTTCTTTATTGCCTATTAGTTTTCAGTTTGTAAGATAAATGTCACTTCTGAAAAACGATTTTTTTAGATGAAGAAAAGAATAGATGAAGCCTCTAATATTAATAGGAAAAGAAATAAATATGGCTTATATTATCATTTGTTTCTAAGAAACAAAGTTTGATGATCCCAAATTGATCGTTTATCAAAAACTATGAATATCAAAACTTCATTATAAACATCCATTTTCATTTTTCACAAACACACCCTATACTGGCAAATGCTTCAAACCTGTATGGCTCGGATCAGTGAGCACCAATAAGTTGTAACTTGCTTCTTTATAATAGCAGATGTCGCTTCAGAAACTAAGAACTGAGAGTTTGACCACAACAAATCAACAAGAGCATTTATGAAAACTCAACTAAGACTAAGACCTATGCCTAGAAAGTTGGCAATATTCAACTAAAACTGAAAGTTTAGGTCAAAACAAAAATTAGCATGCGTCAAATTGAAATATAATCAGTTGCCATTGACCTGAGAAACTTCAAAACAATTGTTTCCACTTTGTATCTATTATAATAATTCGTGCTACACCAATCGTGGTGTACAACTGTACACTATTCTTAGGTTTAGTCTCACGTTACCAATTATTAGGTTTAGTTTTATGTTTATTTCCAACATGATGGAGCTCCGCCACATTGCAGAACTATTTACAGATACTTTCTCAATACAACTATGCCAGGACGATGGTAGGAAAAAATGGCCTGACCTGACTTTTCATTGTGGGGCTTCATTAAAAGCAAGGTATTCAGCTCAACTTTTGGCAATATTGACTAACTGGAAGAAAAAATAAGGAGGGCTTGCATGACTATAACTCATACAAATCCTGGAAAATTGCCATAAAAATACTATTGCAGAGTGAATATGTGTTTAAGGAACGATGGACAGCAATTTGAATATTTAATGAGATATCATGAACGACCTAGATGTTGAGATTAGGTCCAATTTTACTGAACTTGTAGGTCTTACAGTTTCCAAGATAGCAATAGCGGGATCAGCTAAAAAACAATCTGTATTTGCACATACCTACGTGCACGATTATTCAATAACAAATGAAAAATACGGAATTCTCACAAGTTGAAACTTAGGTACAGCTTATGTCTGGTGAATGAACTCACACTGAGTTGTTGATTCAGTTTCTCAAGATTAGAATCTACTATGATTCATAAAATAATAGTGGGTTTATGGAACAAACCTTCCATAAATACAAAAAATGAAGGAAAGTGTTGAATATTTTTTTGTTTCTAGGAAAATATCAGTAGGACAGTGAAATATCAAATGAAGAATTATTGTGATTATACTAACATATGTATAAACCGGACACTATTATTAGACATAGGTAATCTTAGTTACAAATTATTAGGTACCTATTGTTGTATAATCTCACTATAAGATTAGCAACATAAGCATTTCATAAATTAAATGGATATTTTTCAGGCAATGTAGTTCATCAAAAGTGATAGCACAAGACCAATTTCCATTTTTTAAAGAAAATTTTGTTATTGCAATATCATGAGACCAACAAGCATGATGCAACCTATACCTATATATACATATAAACACATAATGCGTATGTATACCCAACATGGCGGATCTGCACAAATGCCTAGGTTTCTTCATTCAACCATAGAAATATTTTTCTTCCAAACATATATAAATGACCTGTTCATGATGGGTAATGGAATAATTAACAATTAAATGATGTCTATTATTCGAATCACATACCATTTCTTTTACCGGCAAATTTTGCGTCCTCTTATAAAACCCAAGTGAATTTTCGAGAGTTTTTCTGAGAAATAAAATGTATGAGAGCGTGTATCAGTAACAGTAACAAAAACAGGAATTGCAAGGTAAATCTGCCTCGCCACCTTAACACAAATTCGGAATTTTGCAATCAACGGGGGACGCCATGATGATGTGGCCAGACCCGGAGAACTAATTACAAAAATCCTACTCCTCTAACGAAAAAATACTAAACTACTTGTACACCATTAATAATATTTCTTAAATGCAATATTTCTTACCCGTTTTCTTGAATTTGCTAACTTCAATTTTTGAGCTTTCGACACGTCCGCCATGACAAACTTCTCCGAGGCCAAGAAAACTAAACTAAACTTTACAAATTACAAATGGGATACAAACTACACCACCGATTGGTTGAAATGAAAAGGCGAAACCGGAACCGGAAACAGAGAATATTACTCTCTCTCTCTCTAAATTGATGAACGTTGCTTCCCGCTCGAGCACATTTGTCCAGGCCTCAGAGTAACAAAAGATTGAAGGCAGCATAACTTTGTTTACGGGAAGTTGGACCATATAACAGTGGCGGTTGGTTTAGTTGATAATTGGAGGGATATTATCTAAATATATATGACTCAAAGATGACTGACTGACTGACATAGTGATCTATCAACGCACAGCCCAAACCACTGAACGGATTGGGCTGAAATTTGGCATGCAGATAACTATTATGACGTAAGGCTTCATCTAAGAAAGGAGTTTGATCAATTTTACCCCCAAGGGGATAAAATAGGAGATGAAAATTTGTACCAAACTTTGACAATTTTAAACCGATTGGGCTGAAACTTTGCATGTATAAAGCTACTATGACGTAGGCATCCCCTAAGAAAGGATTTTGATAAATTCCACCCCTAAGGGGTTGAAATGAGGGATGATGGAGGATGTAAATGTATTAGTTTGAACCTATCAGTACCTAATGGAACGAATAAATTAAGACGAACAAAATAATTTTTGGTTCTGAATGTTGACAATAGATGGCGATAGTAGTTTTTTGAAACGCGCTATCGTTGTGTTTTCACTGAGTTACATATACCCGATGATGAGTGGCCGCCGTATCTAATAGTACATACTATACCTTATTATTTCTAGCGGATTATATTTGACGTTTTGGCTGTTCTTTTCTTGGTATATTTTGGATTGCATTTGATTTGTTTCGGTTTAGTAGTTTTGGTTATAGCCTCTGCTTTGTATTTGGCATTTGTTTTGTTTTCGTTTGGTTTAAGTATAGGTTTTGTCGGTTAGACTATTATAAAATGGCTAAAGAAAATCTGAACGTTAATGGAGAAGTTGAAGAATGTACTGTCGTCAGTGCTGCTCCAAGGCAAACAAAAATTGTACGAAAATGACAAGTGAAAATGTATGCTTTTCATTATAATTGTATAGCATCAATGGTCGCCAACACATCAGAATAATTGACAAGTGACAGCTTCACGCATGATGCAGAGAAGGAATAAAGCGATTAGTATCCTAAAACAAATATCAAGAGGGGTGAGGTGAACTACCAATTATCATTCATAAATATTTATTTGAAATCCGTCTTTTCTCACTGGATTTATTTTTCTTTTAGCGTCAGCGGTTTTCGACAGATTTGACAGATCTGAAAATTAAGTGCTCTGTGATTGACGTGATCATGATCTATGACTTCTATGACAGACGGACACGCAGGACAAGCCTATCATAATGAGACGAAAGACAGAGATAGACAGATTACTCGACTATCGAAGGACGAAGTGATTGAAATTTGTAAATATAGGTTTGTTTTGGTTCACAATTCTGTATAGTTCGATCATGCGCAGTTATTAAAATGTGTTTTGGTTTAGTTAGAATCGTTCTAGTATCGTTCACAAACTGTTTTGGTTTTCTCCGAACCGATTCGGAACTATTCCAGAACGGTAATTATTAGGTTTGTTTTGGTTCTCAATTCTGTACAGTTTGATCATGCGTAGTTATCAAAATGTGTTTTGGTTCAGTTAGGGCCGGTTTATCAATATGTAGTTAAATGCTCCTGTTAGCTACCTCGAAGCTAAGCTTAGCTGATAGTCAATGTTGCAGTTACTATTCAAATCGTTTATCATACCTTGACTGATGCTAATGTTTAATAACTGTTAGTTAACTAAGGTTGGCATAAGTGACTATTTCAGGGGCTTGTTTTTATTGGAGGATTGATTTTCAAAAATGACAACTGCTAACAAAAATTTCATGAGTTATACATAATAACCTATATGAGTTGAGAGGGCATATAAAAAACGAAAATGAGCAATAAAAGAACATCCAATTTTACCGAAACAGACAGATCACTCCTAATAAAAATTGCCAATTCCTATAAATTTATCATTGAGAACAAAAAAAAATGATGCTATCACATGGAAGAAGAAAGAAGAGGTCTGGAAAAGAGTTGAATTTGATTTTAATTCCTCTACATCAGGACCTGTAAGTCTCTACCTCATTTTATTCTTTGAAACCATCATTACGTTCATTAGCAATGTAAGGTCTTCTTTGAACTCCAATGTATCCTCATCTTCGTCATTCAACAAATGGAAAACTTCTTTAATCAAACAATTATAGTAATTAACCCTTTACTTGCAATAAGTATTTCTCAAATTATCACAAAAAACACAAATAACCTAATTTCGCATGCGCGACCACATAACCACAGAATATCGGAACTGATATTTTGTGACATAACTGTCAGCTTAAATGAAAAACTATCACCTTCTAGCGACTGTTACGGTCACTGAGACTTCAGCTACCAGTTGATGGTAACATGATAACGAAAAACAGTTTGACTAGGAGCTAAGACAAAACTGTTAGTCAAATGAGGTTAGCTGGCGATTGATAAACCGGCCCTTAGAATCGTTCTAGTATCGTTCACAAAGTGTTTTGGTTTCCTCCGAACCGATTCAGAAGTATTCCAGAACGGTAATTATTAGTTCGTACATTTGAGTTGGGACCGTTTAGAACTTCGAATTTGCTTTTGCACACTAATAAAATTTTTCATTTGCGTTGTGGATTTTGGTAGTAACGTTTTCTCAATCCCATTTTTATCCGTATTTTAATTGGTGTTTCATTTGGTATTTCATCTACAATACTGTCTCCGGTAAAACAAAGAAACTCGGAGAGTTCATTGCCACCTGTAAATGAGACAAAATTAGATATATATCAACATTATTCTCATACCATAACAGATAGACGTGAAATGTATGTAGCAATAATAATAATCATTATTATTATCACATCTTTTACAATTCCAAAAAGTTATTCTTGGCATGTTTTTGTCAAACTCGTATAAGATTACAAAGAGAGGACAATATATTTTCAATTTAATTTTGGATAACCGGAGATAACGTCTTAGTTAATTCCTGTTACTCTCATTTTTTCAAAAACATCATCACACTTTAATTATATATTTGCTTAACTTTTTCACTCTTGTCTTTAAACTTAACTCAAAAGTCCAATGATCGTTATATCAGAGTAGAAGTACCTAACCTCCAATCTTTGTTTATACACTAGTAAAATAATTTTTTTATATGTTTTGGTTTTTTACTTGTTGGGACCGTTCCAGAACTGTTCTGTGACTGTAATGTTCTGCGCATTGATTCGGCGTCGATACGGGACGGTTCAATAAAAGTTCGGAATACAGAACCAAAACAAACCTAATATAACCGTGGCCTCGTTAGAATCAATGACGTAATGCAAAACCAAATGAAGTCAAAATGCATGCTTTTCGTCAATGTGGTATGCATGTACGAAAAAATATAGAATTGTATAGCAATTCGTACAATTGTATAGCCAGGAGCACCCCTGACTGTTGTCCCTATTGTTGGTGACGGTGCATGTTTGTTTCGTGCTTTCTCTTATATAATGTACGGAACACAAAATAGAGCGATGGAGGTGCGTTCAGAAATTGTCAGATATGTGGTTAATGACTGGAGCAAAGTTTCAATTATGACCCACGACCGGAATGGTGATAAGTACGTAACACCTGACGAATATTTTGCTGGTATGATGAAAAATGCTACTTATGGCGGATTTTGTGAGTTGATAGCAGCAGGTTTAATATTCCCATTTAAGTTTGAAGTTTTTTCTTCGTTATCTTGTTTAAGTCAGATTTATGGGCCTAGGGCCCCTTATCCTTTCGGCTGTTTGAGTTTTTCTTAGGGTTCTGTGGCGGGACGGCAGGGGATTGCATGGTCCTCTGTCGACTTCTTTCGGGTCTTTGCCCTGTGTGTAGAAGTCGCAGCGTACTTCTTTGGCTTTGCGGCCGTTTAGGCACTGTTTCTTGTTTTATTTTACGGCAAGCATGGATTGCAGTACCGGAAATTTCACTAGAAGCGCCTGCAGCTGCCCTAAGGCCGTTGGGAGACATTCGGGAGAGCCGCAGGCGTTCTTTGACGATGAGACGGCCCTCGCATACGAGACGTCGCTCCTGATTGAGTTTCTTCCGATAGTCCTTGGTTTTGTGGTCTGTCTGTTTTCGTTCGGCCTGCTGGAACTGCTTTACAGTTGCGTTGCGTGTGACCGAACTTTTGGCATCTGTAACATTGCTCTGCTCGGTTTCTCGGCTTCTGTGTTTCGGCGCTTACACGCACGTTTTGAATTTGAATTTCGCACGAACCATGGAGCATTCACCAGCATCCTGAGAAGTTTATTTTGCAACCTTTCCAAAATGGAGAGGTTTGACGGGGCGGTTTGTTCCCAAGCACTTGAAGCATACATGATGACAGGCTTGAACATCGTGTTGTATAGTAAAATCTTATTTTTAAGATTGAGTTTTGAAGTTCTATTGACCAGAGGATAACGTTTAGCTATCCTCATCTGCACTTTGCTCTTGATATAATCAATGTAATTTGCCCAGATGAGTCGGCGGTCTACCCAAAGACCTAAGTACTTGACTCGCGTTTGCCATTCGATCACCCTGCCTGAAATCGTGACCCTTGTGTCTGGAGAAACTTTACGTCTCTCCAAGTCTATCGCTTGAGTTTTTTCTGGATTCACTCGAATCTTCCAGTCAAGGTACCAGCGTTCGAGGTCGTCCAATGCGCGTTGCATGTAGACGACCGCCAACGCCCGACCCATGGAAGAAGCGAGGAGAGCCGTATCATCGGCGTAAAGGGAAACCTTCACGTGATCGAACCTCGGAAGGTCGCTCACGTAAAGGCTGTACAGTAGTGGAGACAGCACAGCTCCCTGAGGTACTTCAGCTTCGATTTCCCTGACGGGAGACAGGGTTCCTTCAACTCGGACCTGAAATGTCCTGCTTTTCAGAAAGGACCTAATCCACCGGACCAGACCCCGAGGCAGATCGAAATCGAGCATTTTGTGTAGCGGGCCTTCGTGCCAGACTCGGTCGAAGGTTTTTGAAATATCCAGGAGGACAAGATGGACTGTCTTCCTGTTGTTCAGCTCTGAGATGGAATTTTCGACCAGTCTCAGGGCCTGCATCTCGGTGGAGTATGCCCTCCTGAAGCCGAATTGTTCGTCAGGCAGAACATTTCGGTCTTCAACTTCTTCTGTTAGCCTATGCAGCACAACACGTTCAGCCAACTTAGCCGTTGAACAAAGCAGACTAATTGGACGATGTTTCTGGGGAAACAGCGGGTTCTGGCCCTATTTCGGAATCATGACAACTACGGCATGCTTCCATCTTCGAGAGCAGATGATGAAGTTCTTCGGGAGCTGCTTCAACAACCTGTTGTTGATTGAATCAATTCCCGGAGCCTTCTTGGGTTTGTAGGTCCTAATGTACCCCTTCAGTTCTTCCTCCGAAGCTGGACGGATCATGTCGTCATCATTTTCCCTAAGGATGCGCCGAACCCGGTGTTCCAGCCGGATAACACGGCTGGAATCAAAGTTAAGTCGGATCAAAGTTAAGTCGAAACTGACTCTCCATTGTGTCTGCAAAGGCCAACGCCTTCTCGGCGGGGGAGTAGCAGATACCGCGCTGTCCGTGAAGAGGGGAGGGAGCGGTTTTCCTCTTCTCGAGCCTGCGGTTCGAGTGATTCCAAACACTCGCTCCATCTCTCGTTTCTATAGTCAGTAATGGCCTGTTTAACCTGGTTGGCCAGCCTGCTAGCCGCAACCTTGTCTCCAGGGTAGAGAGTCCGCTGATAAACTCATCCGAGTCGATTTCTCTCCCGAATAAGGTTCTATATCCTGGGAGAAAACTCATTATAGCTCCGCAGATGACTCTCTGTCCTGGTTGTGGTTGCGCGGAAAGCGTTGTTCACAGATAATTCGAAATCTGCCACTGCCGCGTCGAGACCGTTGCGAGTTTGAAGTGTCTCACGGTCTGTACGTGTCTCCACTAGGTGAGCCTTGAAGGCTTCCCAATCCGTGGATGATCTCATGCGATAATCCTGGGGAGGGGGATCATCACCAGTAATGGATATTAATACATTTAATATACAGTTTCCATTGATTGATATCTTGATAGTTAAATGTCATTTGGAGCATAAAACATTCTTCTCAATAGCTTTGTATATACCTGATACGATTGGATTAGTTGAATTTGAATGTTTTTTTGATGCATTGGAACAGTTAGATTATTTATATGAGGGTAATTCCATTTTTGTTGGCGATTTCAATGTTCCGAAGTTCATTGAAAGTGATGTTAATGATCCAAAAACGCGTATAACCCTCAACTTCTTTGACATGCTTGAGTATAAACAATCAAACTGTATAACTAATCACCTGAACAGAATGTTGGATCTAGTTTTTTCACCTTTTTCTTGTTATGTTACCCATGAAAATTTGTCTTTTGTACCTGAAGATAACCACCATCCTGCATTAAGTATTAAAATAGCTGATATATACATCAAAGAAAAGAATTTCAACTTTAGGAAAGCGCACTTTCCATCTTTGTATAGACAGTTAGAGGAAACTGATTGGAGTAATGACCAGAATCTGCTAGAGATCCTAGCAGATTCTGGTCATATATTCACTCTAAGAATAACAGCACAAGAATACCAGGATCAGTAACATACTTAGGAAACAAACTCGAGAATCCTCAAGATGTATGTCCTGTATACAAAAGTGGTGAAAAATTATATATAGAGAATTACAGATGACAAATTTATAAAACACTTTTATTGCCTACAACTGTATTGTGTTCACCGATCATCTAATATAATCAATTAGCATTTTGGAAGTAATTATAAAATGCTAATGCAACACCATGGAATTATAAAACAACTTTGCTAGTTGGGAGAAGACAGAAAGAAAGTTTGAAAAAAATGATAAACTTTGAAAGGCTTAATCTCGGAAACTATTGGGTCTACAGAGACAGTTTTACTATCATATTGTAGCAAATTTAGTCTACTTTAAAAACTTACAAAGCAAGTTTTTTAAAAAACTAGTCCTTCAGGAATTTAATCGTCAAAATTTGAAAAAACCCGATTTTTTCGCGGTTTTTTCGATTTTTGACAAAGTTGCGTTCTGCGCTCGAGGTCACAAACTCGAATTATTCATTAGGCCAACATCATAAACAAGTCTGCAAACAATCAGAACTACCGGATTTGACGTATACTGTGATGTATAAAGTTACTGTACTATAAGGTAGGTATAACTTGTGAGGTTATTAAAACCAACTAATGAGAACTCTGATAAACGGAAATTGCTTGTAGTTGAACAATGCGGTTTTCAATTAATTAGGTAAATAAGGATCGCTTCAAAATGACGTCTTGGGGGTGATTTTTACTCACTATTGGAGTTGCAAGATGAGTCACAAATACCGGAAATAACTTTTTCAAATTTTAAATAATGGAAATTAGAACAGCCTCCACCATTCAACAAGGTTGATGTTCAAATATAGTTTCTGAGACAAAACTTCTTTATTATCGTTAATTCTCAAATAAATGATCATATTGTAGTGAATGAGATGAAACAATAATTTCAAATATATTGGCGCCGCCAGGTTTATTTTCAGGGATGTGCATCTACATCTAGACATACTATTAACCAATCAATATCTATCTATACCAATATTAAAAATGTGAAAGTTTGCGAGGATCGATAAATGTATGTATGTATGTTTGTGGCTCTTTCACGCCTAAACGACTGAACGGATTTGATGAAACTCTTCATAAATACAGCTTATACATCAGAATAGCATATACATATAGGCTACAATTTACAAAGGTTTTCTGTAATTTTGGTCATAATAATATAAACGATAATTATTACCTGAGTCGGAAAAATTCTTGCTCCCTGACAGCTATCTTGGCGAGCGCTGCCTATACCGTTGGAGTTACATGCAGATAATTTACCTGAAGATTGTTTATCTTGAATAGTTCTAAATAAAATTCCATGATAGCATATATCTACCTCTTATGTTGTATCCACTATATGCAAAATACTGAGCCATTTATACAATTAAATTGGATACTTTTGTTACAATGCACATTTCAGAATCTCTGTCAAATTCTTATAGAAATTGATACAATTGTCGTTTTGAGTATTCAACATAGATAAACTTTGTCTTTTACACTAAGTAATTTTAACGAATCGTTTAAAAGTTATCACAATAATATTAACTTGACGCAATGTAGTAAGCCATTACGCGTCGCGTCTACTCTAAGTAGACCCGACACAGATGGGTGTCTCATTGAAACATGGTAACTATTTGAACTCATTATATAAACTCTCTAAATTTCTGTTCATGTTGGAAGAGCTCACGGAAAACCACTGCCGAACTATGTTTAATAATAAACATTATATGGGTGTATTTTCTAGATTCCCGGTAAGCAAAAATATGTCCAGGTTTTCAACTTCAAAACTGACGAAAGTCAATACAATCTTTGAACTTCTATTTTCCCTCTTTGAGTGAAGAAATTCCTAATTTCTTTTCCAGATGCTCACTTACGCTATACAAAGAACCCACCTACATATTTCAGAATTCTAGGTTCAGTAGTTTTGGATTTACGTTAATATGGAAGCGGGAAACAGCTAGTTATTTATATTTTTACTTTAAAAATACAGTAACTTAAAATAGTATTCCAAGTGCACTGAGTAATGAATATATTGGATAATCTAATTTTGTTACCTATAAAGAAATTAGCAAAACTAACACAACCGTCAACGACGTCTGCCCTCACGCGCCTGCCCGCGTTTGGGTCGCGTTCTCGGCGATGTCGCTTCAATGCTTAGACCGCACCTCTACCCCTACAAAAAATTCATGCTTTCACAGGTTGAAAAAAGAACCACAAATCAAAAAACAAGAATACATTTCATACAAAAAACACGCAAAAACATTACAGAAAACAACAAACCCATATTAATGTTCGCAATAATTCTAAATGAAACTGTTAACATATGTGACGGAATTGGCTGATACTTGATGAAAATCCATAACATATTCAAGTTTACCAAAAAGGCAACACGTGTTTCGCTATACAATACTATCTTCAGGCGTGTCCATCCTTATAGACACTGCTCCCTACAATTGAATAAAATATCTACTGCAACGTTTGGTTTTATGGTTCACAGTATTTTTATTACACACTTCTTATTCTCAAACTCCCCTTCAGGTTCATTTTGTTGTTCAGGAGGGAATGTCAGTGAAATTGAGTGTTCTACTCGTGCTGCATTCCAAGTAAAAATTTTATTGCAGCAAGCATGTCGAATCGTTCTCAAATCTAATATCAGTTTCACCGTATTCTTCAACTTGCGCTATGAGAATTGCTAAGTGATATGAAATATGCATTATATTTCTCTTGTGCCAGAAAAACCAATATTCATTGTATGAATTCAATTAACACGTTTCAAATGATATTATTTTTTGTTATGTTTCCGTTTAAAAAAAATAATAGTTTCAGAACAGTACCTAATATCAGGACCGGATTAGCAACTATTTACGCCCTAGGCCAGAGATCTACATTACGCCCCCTCCCAGCAGACGTTCGGGGGGGGTGGTGGCATTTTCGGCATATTAAATGGTGCGCCCTACCTTTCCGGCAAAACTAAAAAAATTGTGTGAGAGATTACAAATATCTCGGTTATTATTTAGATTATCAGTGATCTTACACATTCATTTTCAAGAAAATAATTTAAATCGATCAGTCAATAACAGCGAAATTCCAAAATGTGTGAAAAGGAAATACAGAAAAGGTTATGTTGAAAAATAAAACACACTACACTACTTAATTAACACAAACAATACTGTATAATTAAGTAAGTAAGTACATTTATTAGCACAACACGGTATTTACTAACGAAATGACTTTTAACATCGTTTTAAAATTTCCTCTTCCTGGCTTTGGACCAGGCAAACGATTGGATGGTGTTGGTGAAATCCAATGTTTTGGTTACATCATTTTCAATATTGAGGAGAGCGAGAGAGTTGAGCTTTGTTTGGGTCATGTTTGACCTATGGTATTCCTTGATCCTTTTTAAGCAGGAAAATGACCTAAAAATACAATTAAATTGTGACACTTATAAAAAAAAATTATACAGAAAACAAAGTAATAAAAAAGTAGACTATTCAATTTTATGAAGTGATTAAAGATTCATAAAAAATGTAGTATATTAGAAAGTTAGAGTAATTTGTGGAATCTTACTTTCCCATGAAAAACTGTGTGTGATCCCAAGAAGCTGACAAAGTACAAAGTAGACTTTGTTTAATATTTGTTTACGTTGTTTTAGTTTAGATTAAAATCTAGAGCATTGAAATTGTAATACAAAGTAAACGGTTTGTTATTGTTTGACTTACCTCTCGGCCGATGCGTTTGTTACTGGAGTACAAATAAACATTCTTAGCAAAATTTCGACATTTGGATAGATATCTTCCAATTTGTTTCCTATGATCCACTTGTACAAAGACAACGGCTTTTTATTTTTATTTTCTATTTTGTTTGTTGACATGTGCGACCTCAGGTGGACAAGTTCATCAAAGATTGTCGGCTCTAAATCATTTTCAAATACACTGAGAAGTTTGTTAACCTCAACTTCAATTTCTTCTGTCGTGAGATCTGAGAGTTTGATTATTGCAACGAACCTTGTAACAAATTCCTCATAGGTATGCATTCTTGCTGTAAGTTCTTGTTAAACTTTATCAATTATCGGAATAAATGTGTTAACTCTAAAGCTGTCTCTTCCAGTAGTAAAAGAAACTTCGCCATCTCGAGTCTCATCATCTTGAAGTTTTCTTGTTTTCTTACGTCTGTTATCATACTCATAAACTTTGGTTTCACTAACATCAAGTGCTTTGTTTTCATAAATGTCAAACTGATTTCTGAGCTCTTCAAAGTAGGATATCAGTGAGTTGAAAACTTCTGTTACGGCCAATGCATCAGTGTCTTCATTTTGCACATATTTGTTAACCTTATTGAGCCTGAAAAGAATAGTACCCCATAACTTGACCATTATAGCTGTTTCCAAGCGGTTCAATCTGCTTAGTAGACCTTTAGCTTCTGCTCGAGTGTTAGCCTTCTGATCTGTGTCACTTTCCAATATTTCTAGAGCTCTGATAATTGCAGGCCATTCTTCTTGTAAGGCTCTTAAAGCGTCATGTCTAGCAGACCATCTTGTTGTGGAAGGGCTTTTGGTTGTTAGTGTTGTGTTTTTGCAATTATTTAACACCGCCCATCTATGTGTATAGCTAGAAAAAAAATTATACAGCTCTTGAAGCAGAGTAAATAGTGACACTGCCTCAATACAAGAATCTACAGCGTGAGTCCCAACTAGGTTTAGAGAGTGTTCTGCACACGGGATATATGATGCCTCCTCTAATATATAGTCTGTAACTTTCTTGCCAAGGAGCTCAATAAACTCATCACAAATAGTGGATGAAAGATAGGAAATATGTCCTTTACCAGGGTTTCCATACTTTCTGATATGTTCACGCAAAAAGGGATCAAATTGAGCAATGACTTCTAGTAACATCATGTAGTTTCCATTCGAGTTGGAACCAAATAACTCTGTTGACCCCCTAAATGGCAATCCTCGTGAAGCTAGAGCTTTTATGACCACAACAACTCTTTGTAGTAGCATTTGCCAGTAATTCATTTCTTGATCAATCATTTCAGTCAATTGGGAATCAACCTTTCCTAGTTTCTCCCCTCTCTCTTTTGAAGTGATTGTATTGTTTTTGTGTGAAACTGAGTTTTCGTGCTCTTTTAGCCTTGTTGTAACATTTTTCCAGTCACTAAAGCCATTTTTCACAAAAGATGATTCCGACCGAGATTCTGAATGGAAAAGATGGCAAGAATGGCAAGAGCCACAAAAAACTACACATTTGCTTTCAGAGTAGACGAGCCATGCTCTATTTTGTTTTTCCCCATTTGCTAAATGTCTATAAAAATGTGCACTTGAGAAACTCCAAAAACGGTTGCCATATTCCTTCTTTGCCTTTGAGAAATTTCCTTCTTTATTTTGAATTATCCCATGTTGAGACACGTAATCACGTAGTTCATTATTTACAACCCAGTTTGCTGGATCGGGATCAAAACAAAATGGTTCAAGTTCAGGTTCATGTTCTAGTGGTGTTGGCTTATCAATGCTATTTGAAGGGCTCTCAGGGTCGGGGTCTCTCTGTGGTTCGGATTCAAATGCTAAAGATCTTGTGTTCGGTTCCGGCGGTTCTGTTTCTGTTCCTGAAGTAAAAGACTGCAGGTGAACAGAGGTACTAGTACTACTAGGAGTACTGGTGTCCAAAAATAAACCGTCATCTTTTTTGGTTTGGGTCTTATCTTGTTCTTTAGACAGTAACTGAAGATGTTCTAGTTCTTTCTTTAGATGCTCTTGTCCACATATTCTTTGAGCTCGTTTCGTGAGAGTGGAGAGTAGGGCAAGATACTTCTCCGGATGGAGGTTGTTGAGCGTGGGGCACTAACTATTGGTTTCAATGTATTGGAGTGCATGAAAACAAAATATGATTGATAAAAAAAAGACAGTTGACTTCTGGTGAAAGTGAACTGAAAATTGACAATATCTGTCCATCACAGAGTTGGATCTCAATATGTTCAATAAAGTAATGTTTGTGAGGGTATGTGTGCTTGAGTAAACCCTATACTCTAGGAATTAGAGAACTAATATGATAAACCTCTTTAGATCCACTCATTGAGTGGTTCGGGCAAAAAAAATGAGCCAAAAATGCATCGTAAATGGGCATTAGAACAGTATTACAAAAGCAAAAAATATTATTTTAATTTTTCAAAAAAAAACTATCAGTTTGTTCTCCTACTCTGTCGCATAAAACAAAAATTTTGTATCCCCATTTGTTTGGTTTATTGGGGTTGTATTGCTTCAATGTATTGCTTCATGGAGAAAGCTCTGGCTGGTCTTCATTATCGTGGACTTCGGTCCATTTATGAATCATTCTGTTCGTTATTGAACTTGTGGCTTGTTCTGTTTCTGAATTATCATTATCCTCCTCAGAATCAGTACTTGATAAACAATTAATTTTTTATCGGGAACATATTCTTCTTCAGAATCACTTAGTATTTCATCTTGGCCATCCGTTGGTATTTCTGCCATTTTTCAATGAAATGGGATACACCTAGTTATTTTGATGAATGCTCATTGTCCCTTCTGAGGAACAAAGGTATTTTCGACTGATTGACCATTGTTCCTATTAAGGAACTTTGTTCATATCGCTCTTTACGATCGTTATAATGAACAAAAACTAGATGCTTCATCACAAACACGTGCTCTTATCATCCACAAAAACATGGCTATTCTTTATTTCATACTTACTTACCAAAAAAATCGAAATTCGCACTACCAAAAATCGTTCATGTCAATAAGACACAATTCACAATACAGGTTATTTTCTTGGTTCAACCTCTCTCATGTATATTGTGATGTGTTTGATTCATATGAGGATAATGGCCAATAACTGTATGAATGCCACCCATTTGAATTGTTTCTATGTTTTTGAACTGAGAAGGGTATGTTCCTGATGAGGAACACTAGCCGCAAAGAGGTTAAAGAACCTCCAACCGCAATTTGTTGTCAATCGAAAGCGTTTTACTTTCACACTGTTCTCTAATCTGTGATTATTCATGAATATTGGCATTTTGTCTGTTCCCCTTTTATGGTTCTCTTCATCACCAGAAATTATGGCTGATGATTCATTTGAGTTAATATTCAACCGATGAATTTTCAAAAGTTTATCCTCCACACTATTCAAAAGAAGTTCAGCAGGATCTGACTATCCTAGATTTTCACCTCTGGGGAAAAATTAAAGAAGAGGTATATAGAACACCTATCGATACGAAACAGGAACTTAAAGATCTGGGTAGATGTGTCTTCGAGGAAATCAAGCCGTCGGAAATCCGCAGAGCCACGACTGATCACGTAATAACATCACTCCATCGATGTTTACAAGTAAAACATTTCAAGCAAATGGGCTACTGATTTTCTGTCATATCAGTATCAAATTTCAAATAATTGCGAAGCTAGTTTCATAATATTATCTCTTGTTTTCTAGTGAAGAATTATTTTTGTTCTCAATTTAATTTTGAAAAGTGTTCGTTCTAGTATCGAAAAAGTAGGTAATGTTTGTCATACACCCACTATGAAATTTCATTTATGTGTTCCATTAAACCTTTCTGAACTAATGTAAAGTCATTATTAATTATTCGATATGTTCAATAATACATTTTTCCCCGAATTTTGTATTTGAAATATTATATTTGTGTGAAAGAATTCATGTCTCATATATGGTCAGAGATAGATATAGGACACAGATAATTAAAGTTGTTCACATAAGTTGACTGAATTCGAAAATTGAATAATATACAGGTTGTTCTATTTGAAAAAAAATAGTTATGGTCGTTTATCGAAGATACAAATTGAGACAGACACTCTGTATGAAATAAGATTTGGGATGGGAACAACCATTATATATTATCTCAATGTTGCCAGAAGTTGAGTTCTATGTATCAATTAATTCATGCGATATTAAATATTAAAAATACCATGTATCCTCCAAAAAATACAAAATAATTAGTATTTCAAAAACGATGAGAGATAAGTATAGAATATAATCAACAAAAGTAATTTGGATTTTGATGCAAAATTCAAAAATTATATGATATATAGGGTGTTCTATTTGAAATTTTCAAGTTGATGTTTGTTACATGTAGATGTGGCAACATTGCGGAGATGAAAATATTTTCAAACGATAGATCACAGCCATCTACATCGGTAACCAAAATTTGAACCTCTCATCTTTTTTTGTTTTCTAGATACTTCTAATA